ACACAGACAACCTCTCGTCAATATGCGTTTTTCGCATTGCATTGCTGCAAAAAACGCATTAAAAAACCGCATGATCGTACCCCGGCAAGCCTGGTGTGCGTCGCAGCTGGTTTTAGTATGTTTCAGAGCATTGAGGTATTTGTGGTCTGTGGCAGACTCTTTGAGGCAGTTAATTTTCAGGAATCAAACAATGGTCATGTTGATGTTTTGTAGGTTATGCACAATTCGCACCGTTGATGGTACTGCAATAACTTCATTTCTTGTGCACGAATGTGAAGGCTCGAATCGTATGGGTTCAAGACCAAGAAGATTCCTGTTCACAGGTACCTCCGGTGGTTCAATTCAGGTTTGATTTTTTTGCTCATCGAATGTATTATTGTACCACTGAATTATTTCATTTTTCGTGCAAAGCTGACCTTGGTTGAGGGAGCCAGCGCGCCTCACCAGCACATGATTGCTGTTGGCATTGCGCCGTCACTCAGACCGCTTTTTAAATTTTTGCGACTCTCAAAAAGAATGGAGTGAGGAGGGCATTTTTTGTTTGTATTATCTTTCACGACGCAAAAAGCGATGTTTAAAGTTTTAAGATCTTGAGGGGATTGGTCTGGAGCAGCATTATGAGAAAAGATTGGAATTCATATTATCAAGAGATTTGAGGACTTCCTTCACTGGAGTCACTGAACAGTTGGGAGGAATTCAGTTATTCTTGCTTATATCGCAGATGTGGGATTTGACGACAGCACTGGACCAGTATCATGCAAATTTAGTGTCACCAAGTCTCACGTTAAGCACTCAAGGAAATGTAGCTGAGAAGCCGACTAGTGCTGCTACTGCTGGGGCCTCTTCTGCTGCTACGGCTTCTAATGCTAATGCTATGCTGCTCGCACATCGATCCCACGCTGCAGTGCGACAGGTTTGATTCATTAATATTATAGCAAATTTGGTTTTATGGTTGAATGTGATGGAGGGCCAATTGTTTTGCACTTGTTGAATCTTTTTACTGCACGGAAAAATACTTTTTTTTTTCAGTTAAGTGGTTTTTGATTGTTTCATTAATTTACCATCGGTAAACTTTGCAACACTTGCGCATTGTTTGGGCGCTGTCCATCTATTTTTCCTTCACAAATTTGTATCGTTAAATTGAAAAGATTTATCATCTCAGCATTTCGTTCAACATTTGATTAGCTATAAACTCGACTGCTTCTCTGATTTGCATTTAGTGGAGCCCAGGTTTTAATTTTGAAGAACAAATCGATCAAAAGTGTTTTTTCAGGGCCCAACAGCTGATGAGCTACTGAATTTGATCGACGGTTGTGAGATTTGCTGTGCAAGCCTGAATACAACTCCGTCGAGCACCCCACATGCATCTTCCATACATTTACCTGGACTTGATTATCAGCGGCCATACTGACATTGCTTTAGAAACTTTACCCCCACTTCCTTCGGTCTTCGGTATCTCCAAACTGTTTTTGTTTTTTACGATATTTTCATGATTTGTTCTGAGGATTCGCTTTCTTCAAGTGTTCTGCCACTGATTTGTAAGAAGATTTTCTGCACAGGCAACGGCCTGAACTGCGCGACAGTGCTGTGGATTATTTGTTAACTAATTTCGCGTGAACTGAAAAAATTGTCTTTGAATTCTTATTTTTGTATTATTTTGAGACTAAAGGCTATTGTGATGGTAGTTCACTAGGTCCCATGAACAATTTAACATTTTAACTTTGATTAGTTCTACTGATCTTTCTTATTTGCGGAGGTTCGTTTGTCGTTGCTGTTTGATGATCACTGCATCACTTTTTGCTTCTGTACAGAATAGGACTGAAAAAGCAGCACTCATTTCTTTTCGATTTCTTGACTCTCACTAGATATCTGTATTGATCGACTGATATATAGTGGTTAACTGGTGAATTCTGTTCTGCAATAAAAATTGCCATTTTCTGTTCTTCATGGTGAGTGAAGTGAGCGGTGTGAACAGTCGCCTACAAGAAGTACACGTAAGGCAGGCGACGATGTATCATAACACCTACCGCTAGTTCTTCTTGGGTAAAATTTGAATACGCAAGGACAGACGTGTCATCCAGGTTTATTCATTAACACATAGCTGCTCCATAATTCACTGTCTATGAAGTAGCAAAGATACTTTGAAGCGGTGAGAATGATGTCGAGTGCTGACATTAGCAATCCATTTATAATGCTCTTCATGGCTTCATTTTTACATGGTATTGCTGAACCAGCTGCTGAGCGGTTCTTCCTCT